GTACTGGGTTCTGACAGCTGTAAGAAGCAGATACAATGAGATTGTCATAGTGGATACTGTTGCTTCCAGATATCTTCTTCTTGATTCCACTAGTGAGATTTCAGATTTTTTTAAACTTAAAGTCGTAAAGTTTGCATTTTTATCAAATCCTCTGGTTTTATAACCTTGTTTGTTTCATTATGTAGAGAATGTGCATAGTGTTATCAATAAGAATGGCCAGAATTGGACTGGTTCCTATTGGGTATGTTAGATTCTTCTTTTGTAAAATGACTTTAGCTTCTAAATCATATTCTCTTATCATGGGAGATTAAATGTGTGGTATTTGTGAAAAAAATAACAGAAATGCTTTTGATTTGCATCTTATCAATACTGCAGGATGAGTTTGCTAGTTTGCCACCTATTATCCCTAATGGTCCCATTGCAATCTACGGCTTGGTGAGAACTATTCGATGAATCTAATACCGATTTGATTATCTATTATCATTCTCAAATAATCTGTAATGTACATGAAAATGAGGGTTGTGGAAATGTGTTTACCTTTTTGTTCATGTGTTTTTTAGGGTGGTGGAACTGCTGCAAGATTGATTCTTGAGTTGTGGCCTTCGATACAGCTTGAAGGTTGGGAAATTGATGAAATTGTATGTATGTTATCTTTGACATTGTTTTCAGATTTCTTGCCGTGTTTTCCTTTGCATATTGGAAATCTTGAGTTCACTGTGATTTCTTTTATGGACAGTAGTTGATTGAGAAAGCAAGAGACTATCTTGGCTTATCTGAGCTAGAAAAACCGACATCAAAAGGCGGTAGACTTTGTGTTCATGTAGATGATGCTCTCTCTCCTTCTCAAGATGTTTCAGGAAGATATGCTGGTGAGATTGCCGGATAAACTATGCCGCCTGTTTCTGTTGTTCTCTGTCTGAATTCTTGGATTGTTATTGCTTTAGGGATCATTGTTGATTTGTTCTCTGATGGAAAGGTCTTAGATCAGCTGCAACAGGTACTTTTAAACAGTTAATAGTCACATATAGGAGTAGTATTTGCACCTTAGAGTATATCAAAGTTGAGTTTTGTGCAGGTTCCAATGTGGCTGGATCTAGCGAGCAGACTAATGCCTAACGGTCGGATTATGGTGAATTGTGCCGGCATTGAAACAGAACAAGTTGCAGCAAATGGAAAACCGCGTATGGAGTTAGATGATTCAGCTTGGATGTTGAATTCTACCATCAAGATCTTGTCAGAAGCATTTCCTGGACAAGTAATCACATATCAACTTCATCATTTGTTAATTAATTGCGCGTTTGAATGGGAGAAAGTAAAAAAGATTTAACCCGGTTTGCGGATTATTATTTGTTGCAGGTTAGCTGGAAGAGAACACCGGATTCACAAGGTTTCAACTTTCTTGCCTTGACCGGGGATTCACCTGATCTTAGTGACTGGTCTAACTCGGTTCCAGTCCGTTTGAGCGAAGCAGTGAAGCAATGGAAACTCTGCGAGACCTCTTAATATTACCGATGGTTTTCGAAATCAAGATTCAAAGAGTTTTTAAGGATCTCAAGCTAAAAGTTGCAAAGATTTGATCAGAAACTCACATGTGAATAATGAAATAGCTGTATAATTTGTTTACACTAATCAATTGGCAGAGCATTTTAAAAGACCACTATGTCACTATGTCTTTTATCATTAAAACTTGATTGGTTGGTTTTTAAAAGACCACTATGTCACTATGTCTTTTATCATTAAAACTTGATTGGTTGGTTGACGGAGCATTAAATAGGGCATTTAGTAAATGCAAATGCTCTCAAAATGTTCCTCTCTCAATGCTCTCAAATAGAACAATGCATTGATCTCTAAATATTTTTACAAAAATTAAAAATAAAATTATATAACTAACCAATTTATTTAATATTACAACAAAAACAAATTATATTAACTTTTAATTATTTAAATTCATATTTATCATTATTTTATTTATTATATTATATTAAGATAATATTATAATATAATACTAATTCAATTAAATATAATTTAAATTCGAAAATATTATAAAAGAAATTTACGTTATAATTTATAAATATAATATAGACAATCATTTCAATAAAAGTAAATATACATAATTTCTATAATTTATGTAATTATAAAACATATATATATTAATATTTATCATTTTTTATATGTTCTATTATTTTTAAATAAATTTTAATAAAAATATAACTTAAATATTAAAATTTTTTATTCATAAATATATTTATATTTATATTAAAATGAAAACTTAATATATACCATTAGTCTATCTATCATATTATTTGTTAAATAATATTATAATAAAATAATAATTTAATTAAAAAAATAAAAATTGATGTTATAACTTATGACGAATATATATATATATATAATTTATTAGAATACATATAAATAAGTAAAATAAAATAATTTTTTTTAATTTTATATATAATCATTCACTGCTCTACCAATCAGCTAAATGTGTATATTAATTAGAGCATCTTGTTCCAGCGGCTTACTGTTAATACTGTATTATGCTACTGCTCGTCAAAAAACTATACCAATCAAGGCCCAAGTTTGATCCTTTAGCCTTTTCTTTTTTACGGTCTTTAGGTGCAAAAAAGATGACAGGAAGAAAAGTTAAAATTTAAAAATTTGATATTTGAAATCATTTAATCCTAATTTTTGAAAGTGTATTTGACAGATAAAACTTTGACTTTTGAGTTTTAAGATTCTGCTTGAGCTGTTACTATCAATTCAATTCTTAGATCTTCTCAAACACTTTTTTAACTGAATTATTTTTCAGTTACTCCTTTTGGTTAAACATATTTTTTGCACTTGAAAAAAAGGTTAATGGCCGGATTAACCGGTCTTCTCTCCGACTCGAACCGGGTAGACAATGATTTGGAGATTTGTGGATGTGATGTGACATTTGGTTCCCTGGTTTACCAAATTAAACCGGCCATTAAAGAATAAAGAGTTCGAATCATTTCTTTTTTGGTGGAGGTTGGATTCATATGTTTCGGTTCCGTAGAGAAATAAAAGAATCGAAAATATAGATGCTTTATTATTTAACTAATGATTAAGATCCGCGTTGATAGGCGGATAAACAC